GGAGGGGGGGTGTTAAGAGAGCTAGACTGAAATAATGGGAAAGGTGTGATAATGGAAATAGAACAGAGGAGGGGGAGGGTGGGTGAGGGAGAAGGATAAGCAGTGAGAATGAAGAGTCAGACGATTACATCACAGAGGTGGATAAGCTGATATAAGTACGGTGTGCATTCAGTGCATTATCTATGACAACTACATAAGGAGTTTGAACAATGCTGAATAATACTCTGATTTCTATGTGGTGTAGCATAGCCCTAGGGAGAAGACTGCCTCAGCAATCCTGCCAGTCTCATCCATCATGGCGGACACGTAGCCCCGGCTCACACCTGAACTGCTGCGGCACGGTGTGTGTGGTCCGACAGCTGGGGACATAATAACTTCCACATGCAGCATATTTGTGATCTTTATTAAAAGAAAACACTGAGGGGGCGACAAGATTATTCTCCCATCACCGCCATGTCTTCACATCTGGCCTGGTCCTGTTACGGCTGTAAACCTTCTTCTCACCTATATACTGTCCTCATCAGCTCGATGGTCCCAATCGATGCCTGTACTCCCTTCATTCCCCAGGAGCAGGCTGAGGAACTACAAGGCCCACAATGATGATGGGTTAGGCAAAGGCGAGCAGTAGCACATAAAATGGAGATTGGTCGTTTTTATGCCCAATTAACCACTATCATTGTGACACATCGGCCCTACAAATGTATTCACTATGGCGTCAGTTTCACTCAAAGCGTAAAATGTTGTTAGTTTTGGATGGGATGCAGAAGAGATTAATCTTTAGTTCGGTTTTTATTGCTATAAATGACCTACCCCTAAACTAAAGCCTCCCACAGGAGACCCACAGCAAGTAAAAACAGCACTGGACCCCAATCCCCTTCCCACCTACCTCTAAGCTGCACAGCATTGGCTTAGACAGCGGTGTCCAGAGATCCCCAGGTTATATAAATCACATCTTTCCTACATGGCAATTCTGTCCCCTGGTACGTGACCCAGAGATGGACTGCAGTGGCCAGACAAAAGGCCAAAAACAGCAACAAGCCTACAGTCCGCAATGTGGGTTCAGTACACAAAATGGCCGCTGCCGTGCTAAGAACCCGAAGGTACTGGACAATATTTCATTATATGCACTACCGGTCAAACGGTTTAAAACGCCCCAATTTTCCCAGTTTTTATTGAAATGTACGCAGTTTAATGTCTCAATGTACTCCACCCATCACAATTACAATTTCAACTCTATATTAAAAATACGAGCCCGGTTTCCCGCTTGTCCTTCTAATTTCCAGAAGGACTCATTAACAACCAGGTGGGCGAGTATCACGATGTAGAGATGAGATAAGGTATAAGCGGGGTGCAGGTACATGGGTGGACACAATCTGGAGGTGGGAGGGCGTTATATATCAAATGGACTGACAACCTGGGAAATTGGTGAAGGCCGATCTCCCAGGAGGCCGCAGCTTGGGAGCGTTCAGGAAGCTTTGATGCTGCTTCAGCTGATTTTGCCTTATTAGCTGCAGGGTTAAATACAACCTGTCATAGGAAAACATATGAGCAGGAATATCTGGTGAAGGACACTCACTGGAGCTGTCTAGGTGGCTGATGAGCTCCTGCTGCAGAGTAACATTCTCTAACAATGTTTAATGTTCAGTTATATTTTATTGTATGAAATAGACTTATATTACCTGTCTTATATCAGTTCAGGGCAGCAATCTCATGTCTATGGGAGGCCCCCGACTCTGCTTACCACTGTCAGGGACACCAGTTGATTGGGCTGACTGGGAAGCATGTCCCAATTGCTATTTAAATCCAAGAAAAGTGCTTCCAGCATTTTCTGCCAATGCCATTTACTCCCTGCCCAATCACATATGATATAATATAAAATAATGTATGATATCATCTCATATAATCTTTCATATATAATGTTAATTTAAAAGTAATTTCCAACATTCAGTATTTCATTGAAGCCCATTATGTTGCAGAGTCCTGAGTCTATTTGCGTTGCAGAGTCCAGAGCCCACTGCATTGCAGAGTTCTGACTACACTGCATTGCAGAGTCCAGAGCCCATTGCGTTGCAGAGCCCCGAGTCCATTGCGTTGCAGAGCCCCGTGTGCATTGCGTTGCAGAGCCCCGTGTGCATTGCGTTGCAGAGCCCCGAGTCCATTGTATTGCAGAGCCCCGAGTCCATTGCGTTGCAGATACTTTTCTTTGCCTTGCTGCCCTCCTTATGGAAAGTCCCTTGTAATGGTGTGGGTGCTCGCAGTGACTGATGGTGTCGCAAATATCAGCGAAATGTCACCAGCACACCAGAATCCTTTTAGGACAGCAGAATGTTCATTTATTTGAAGTTCCTTGTCATATAAGCAAGCGCTTTCAGGGCCACGCAGGGTCCCTTCATCAGGCTTAGCATTGCAGAGTCCTGAGTCCAGTACATTGCAGAGTCCTGAGCCCAGTGCATTGCAGAGTCCTGAGTCTACTGCGTTATTGCATTGAATATTTTTTTATTTGTTAGTTCCTTTACAGGCAGAAGGAGGGGGGAGGAGGTAATGGAGGCGGGAGGGTTGTGGGGGCCCATCAACAAAATGTTGCACAGGGCCCAATAATATTAAAGACAGCCCTGCATTTAGTGGCCAAACACAATTAAGCAGGCAGATCATGTGGCTGCTCGCTGGGGTCCATTGGGGGGGGGGGGGCGCAAAACTTTGTTCTGCCCCGGGGCATCCATAAGTTTGGTTACGTCACTGGTGATGTGCAATCTCTCTGCCCACAGACAGTTGGATTGTGCTTGCATGGCCAGTCACCATCAGATGTCTATAGGTATTCAATGCAAGGGCGTGTCTGATTGGATACAAATTGAACGTATTGTTCAGGTTTTGCCTTATATTACACAGTTTTGGTAAATCTAAAGCAAGATTGTAAGGAGATCTATATGTGCAGCTTGTCATTTATAATAAGAAAGTTATAGGAGAATGGTGATGTCACACATTGCACTAACCTTCTCTCTGTTATCAGGTGTCAGACTCCGGTACAGCTTCCTCCCTTGCTTTCCTGCGTTCCAGATAGTGAAAGACGGCCATTGCCGGAGGACTCTCTCTTCCAGGAACTTCACCCGATTCTTCCAGATAGTCTCCCTGACAGAGAAAGATGGGGAGCAGTGACAAATCTTGCGACAGAAGGGCTGTGTGTGGTGGTGTTGGGCTGGTGAACGGGATACATTTGTAACAACAGTAGAAAATAGATATTCCTAATACCGAGCAGATGACACTGAGTTTTATTATCAATCATGATCAGAACACATTTTTTAAAGTTTGGTGTCCTATGATCGGAGCTGAAATGATGAATACGTTCCGGTATCTTTAAAATCTTGTGCTTGCCCAGCTGCAACAACATTTTTATCCACATATATTAATTTCAACAGATCTATTTATTTCCGCATTTCTGGGATTGGACTTAGGCCTCGTTCTCACCAGATGCAGTGCGTTCCGGGCCGATTCTGGCCAGAACGCACTGCCTCGCATTGCGACCGGCTCACTTTTTTGTGGGGCGGGAGGGGGCGTGGCGCTCCATTGAAGTGAATGGCACAGTAGCCTCCCGCAATGCGATCGGCCACACGGGATCGCAAGGCACATTATGCCTGCGGTCCAGTGCGAACAAAATGCTGCAAGCACTATTTTGTTTGCACCGGACCGCAGGCATAATGTGCCTTCCGATCCTGTGCGGCCAATCACATTGCGGTCTGGAGGGCGTGGCTACGGTGCCATTCACTTTAATGGAGCACCACTCGTTTTTGCATACATCTACTGCTAGCAAGCTGTAGACATATGCAAGATATGAAGATTCTCGAGCGGCCGTGAAGGATCGTGGTGTGGGCGCATGCGCAGTAGTGATCTTTGGCCGGAAGAAGAGGAGAGACACAGTGTAAGTCAATGCACGTAGCCGGGAACGTGCGTGCGGACAGACACCGGGGACCCGAGATGTCTGTGCTGAATCAGTGACCGGCACCAGTGCTGGAAGGACTCCTGAAAAGAAGATGATCTGATCAAGAGGCATCATTCAAGGTAAGTCCTTACAGCAGCATTGGGGGGGGATGTGATTTTAATATCACTTTATTATCAATCTATTACATGTTGTGTCAGCTGATCTCCATCTGTTCCACATTTCACATTATGGGCGCCAAAGTTGCACTGAAATGTTGAAGCTATCCCTGTAATATGATATTTTCGACCCTAACTAACCATAAATAAGGAAGAAAATATAAAAATATCGCAATTCAAATTACAATTCTGAAGCCAGTTATATAGAAAGGTTGAATCTGATGGAAATGAGTCTCCCTTCAGCCTAATTAATGTAACAATCCCAATAGGTCTGCAAAGGTTCTCATGTATCCGGGTCATGGTATAGGGAGTAGTAGTTGGTCACATTCACCTGGACTTGTTCTATAATGTTGAAGACGTTTCGTAGCTTATCCTACGCTGCTTCTTCAGTTCCGATCAACAGTATTAATATAATTCTAATCAAAATTGGAAAAAGGAAAAGATCTGAAACATCTTCAACATTACGGAACAAGTCCAGCTGAATGTGACCGACGACCATCAGCAATACCGGGACCTGGATGGATTATCCCAAATCTTACCTATAAAACATAAAGAAATGTTTTCTTGACAGGCAGCCCTTTGATGTTTGCTGCATCACAGAGTAAACAAGATCCTGATTTCACCCTGCATGTGCACTGCCGGTTTACCCAGAATCCTCCTGTGCCAGGAACACTCGCTACCACGTCCCCTGGGGCTGGTACCTAAGATTAGAGTGCGGGTTAAGGAGGAGAAGCCGGTTCCCAGAGTCGCAGCCAGGACAGGTGCAGCCTGAGCAGTAGGAACTTGCCGTCTACACTCCAACAAGCCGCTGGGAAGTGGAGCTGCGAGAACAAGCCTTGCAGCGCTTGTTGTAACACTGTGAGAATAGTCTTTCTGTCTGAATCCCCGGAGCTCCTTCAGATCAAAACGAGAGCTGGAAATGTCACACCAGTCATCCATAGAAGAACAACTACCGGCAGGGTTCTCTGCCAAAACCATAAACGGGAAACAATGTGCGCTACTGTAAAATGGGAAACCGCTTGTCCAAATGAAAACGCAAGACCGCAGACAGAAAGGTTTCACTGACGTTATAAAAACAAAGATAATGCCCAATATTCACATATTTGAAGACGCTGGGAAGACATTTACAAAGGTTTCACCTAGACCATTGCAGGTCACCCTGCCGCGTTCCATAGAGGAAGGAAGATATCACACAGGTCCTAAACAACTGTCACCATTCCACCAGATAAAACGATCTGATCAGAATGCTTTGCTCTCCATATGATTGTGTAACTTTCCTTCCTTTTAGCCTATTTCACCATCACCTGTCTGGTTATAATGTCTTCTCGGTCCCCAAGAACTCCTCCATAGAAACTACTGTTTACATGTGCCGCACTGGTGATGGCCAACGAGCCTGTGACAGCCGTATGCAGTGTGGGATACATGGCTCTAGAATATTAGGTTGAGCTATACACACCAGCAGTTCTGGACAGCAGGGGAAAAAGGAAACGATTTGCATGGTTCCCGTTAATATCCTAAACTGAGAAATAATAGCCTCATTTTTAGGATTTTTGATGGAAGTGGAACAAGCAGCTCTATTGTGCTTTCATAACTGAATGAATACAAAAAAGGTAGGTTAACTGGCTTCTTCCAGATGGCTCTAGTAACCCACAGCAACCAACCACTACCTTTTACGAAGATTCCCAATTGGCTGCTAAGTTATTAAGGAAATCAGCCAAACGCAGTTTTAAATATCTATATGTGAACTGTCTTACCTTCAAAAAGTTTTTATAGTTGGGCTTGTGACCCAGCAACCCCTGCCAGGAAGCAAACTCATATTGGTGACTACACTTTTCTCCACCATAGTTACTCAATACAGCTTGGTCACCGGCCTACCCAGCCTTTCTGATCGGACAACAAAGTCAAACGCATCTCCGCAGCAAGATCTTCCCTTTGTTTTCTATAAGCAAGTTCCCGGTGTCAGCATTGAGCAATGTATTGGAACCTGATTAGTTCACAAAGCTGGTCTTCCCATTCCCAGGTCTCTTTTGCTGTATTTAAAATCCATTTATTTCATTTATAATGTATACTTTTCTGGATTAAAGATTGCTTTGATATGTGCCTGGGGTTCAGCTTTAAGCCTAAGGATCCAACTGGCCTTTATGTTACCTTGCCATGGTCTGCGATGTTTGTGAATGCCGAAAATGAAACACCAGGTATTGTGAGGGCAAAGTCCATGAGGTCTTCATGACCACGTGGACTTTGGCAGCTCAGATCCCATCTGTCAACAGCTGCTTCTCTGAATGACAAGTCCATAGTCAATGCTTGCCAGTACCATCTTTCCACCATCGGCTATTGATAAGTTAAAACAAACCCAAAGTCCTTTGCGTTGATTTTATATAAAGTCTGTAAACAACTTTCCTTTTTTTTTTTTGGCAGAGCTTTGCAAGAAACAACAGTTTGGAATTGTAGGTGATTGCCAGAATACTTTCCTTGTCATGGTCTGCAATATTTGTGAATGCCCATAAAGAAATACCAGGTATTGTGAGTTCAAAGTCCATGAGGTCTTCATGACCACATGGACTTTGGCAGCTCAGATCCCATCAACAGCTGCTTCTGTAAGTGACAAGTCCATAGTCAATGCTTGCCAATACGATTTATCCACCATCGGCTATTGATAAGTATAAAAATAAAAAGTCCTTTGCACTGATTTTATATAAAGTCTGTAAACAACTTTCCTAGTTTTTTTTTTTTTTTGCAGAGCTTTGCAAGAAACAACAGTTTGGAATTGTAGGTGATTGCCAGAATACTTTCCTCAAGAAGACTTTCACTGGGAGAAATTTGTGGACCACCATTGCGGCACCCTCAGCCCTTGTTTGGTGTTTTTGTTGGAGGACCAGAACACAACTGTCACCTGATTTGACTTGTTCGGCGATCTGCTTCCTTCCCTTTCCATCTTCATCTTTTAATCAAACGCTTTCTCCGAGGCTGCTAGAAGTTGCTTAACTGGCCCGTGTGGATCAAAAGCGGGAAAATAAAAATTAGCATTTGGCTGCTAATTAAAAAAGTCAATTGGCAACTTTCTCCTCCCTCATTAAGGTTATGTAATGAGCTTCTTAAATAATTCTGAAGATCTGTGACGAAAACAAGATGTGAAACCTGTATCCTACGAGGTATTGAGGAGGAATAAACGTATCGGGTCAAGACGAACTGTACATTACATTTTTTGAAGTGCGGAGTCGCTCTCACGTCTTCGCAGATCCCGGTATTTCAGGAGTCCTTTGTTGGGTGATTTCTTGAACTGCAGTCCCAAAAAAATTGTATTTCCAGATCAAAATATCAACGATCCAAAAAAGTCTCCTGCCAATCAAAGAATAGGCGACCGGTAAGTAGCAGCATTCTGACACAATCCACCAATGTTCCAAAATGAGAAGGTTTTGCGGGGAGAGTTGAACAATGGAGCTGCTGCCTGGAATGTTTATATCTCATAGAGATTTCGCAACTTCTGGAAACGTCACAACCAAACAAACAACCAATAGATGCGGACAAACAACCTGAGGAGACTGACAGATGACGAGCTCCGCCGTGCTGCCTTCTGGTTAAATATGACATTTAAGCCGCGTTATCTAAAGGCATTATCTAAAGAAATTAAATTTAGCGCAGAGGGAAAGATCTCCAGATGCAGCAGAACTACAACTTCCAGCAGGCCCCACTAGGGTTTGTTAGGCTTTGTCGTTCCACCACAAATGGAGTGACACCGAGGGCCATAGGGTGGGGGGTTAATTAGGCGGGTCGCTGTGGCATTAGTGGGGTTAAAGATTGAACTGGTTTTTGCAGAGTCATGTGGTGTGGTAGCTCCAGCATGTGAAATGGCCCCCAGCAGAATTCTCGCTCGCTTTAAAGAGATACGTCAATGAGCGGTATCTCAGTTGACACGTAAGATTACGTCTTGACATGCTCGCGGTTGCATAAAGAGTCATCTACAGCAGGATCTCCACAACCCCATATAGGACCCTCGATGACTCCAAAAAACACTCCAGCCTGAAAACGCCTGACAAAGGTAGAATAAAAAAAAAAAAGCTTCCAAATTGTGCACGGGGGCTCAGAAGTCTTGTCTCTCTGCCAGCCTGTGACTGGACAGTGCAAGGAAAGGCATCAGACTGATAAGCTCATCTCTCTGCTCCTATCAGCATGCCTACTGCCAGTATATAAACTGGCTTCTTGTGCTGCTTCTCCCTCCTAGACACTGAGCTCTGCTGCACGGGAACAGCAAAAGGCTGATACCAGGAATGAAGGTACTCACACTGCTTGGATTTAAAAAAAACACAAGAAAGAAGAACTATGGGCAAATAAAATCTTAACCCTTGCAGTGGGGCTACCCCCTGTACTGCAAGTGTTCATTTTATCTAGGGAGCTAAAATAACAGTTATATTCACCCGAACCGTGATCCCAGCTGACTGTTAGACTGGTCTCTTCAGTCTCCCTCTCTAGTGCTCTAAGGTCCTGTAAGTCGTCATATTCCCTACAGTGTATGGGCGGCGAGGGGCATACCATTACTGGAAAGGAGGATCATGGTTTGTGTCAGCATACCTCTGTCATTCTAGCTCCCTAGACAAAACTAGCACGTAACCCTTGCAGTGCAGCCCCTCTGCAAGGGTTAAGATTTGATTTCCCTGGAGTTGTTCTTTAATATGTGAGCCGCTTTAATTAGTGTCCCCTGATTTCAGCTTTAAGAACGGGGCCCATCGATTACCCAGGACCCAGGACCTCTGATGAGGCACGAGGCAGGCACAATTCCCCGGGAACCATTGTCTCTGGATAGGCACGAGGCAAGCACAGGACAGATGCATGTCCACATACAGGCCAGAAAGTGCAATGTCTTGGAGTGCAGCAGGCGAATGTCTACACCCCTGAAAATAAAAGGATGCAGCTTAGGAAAACATTGCTGCGCTCGACTCGCACTCCTCCAACAGGATGTTATACTTGGCACAGGCCGCATGTCTCATGTAAAGCCGACACGGATGGAGCTCGCTGGGAAGACGAGGCACGGGGGGCCAGTTCCAGAGGGGTCGGACGCAGGACGTGTAAAGTGTGCCGTACGCCTGTGACTGGAATTGTGTCAACGCTGACAGTCTCCACTATGTGAGCGCGAGCTACTGTCCGGCTCCTGCTTGGTCCAGGAACTAAGGAAATATACATGAGACATCGAGAACACGAACGTCGCACAAAAGACACCACCGACGATGATCCATGAAATGGCCAATAGAAATCCAATGTGGCAACAAGACTCAACTTATTGAGATCCTGAAACATTGTATCTTTTCCTGTAATAAACCCTCCGGGGCTCATCGCCTTCATAAGGGGAAGTTCAGCCTACCATGGAAAATATCAGCCGCTCGGTATAGTGTCAATTCCATGCACCTCTCTGAGGGCAGGTTCACACCATTTTCCAGACGAGATCTGGTCCGGAACATGTTGTGAACCTGCCCGCAGTTCCAGTGCATTCGAGACCATACAAAATGGGACCTGCAGTATTTTTCTGGTCTGGTATGGACTGCGCTGGTGTGAACAGAGTCCAGAAATAGCATAGGGATACATTAGGATGCATTTTGGGTCCGGAAACAATCTGGTGTGTTCTGGAGATGATCATGGATGTGGTGTGAATGGGCCCGGATGACTGATGCTGCAATGTAGGAGGCATTATGGGGTATATTTATATAAAGCAGTGAATGTGACATTCACTGAAGGTGTATCTTCCTGGCATGTGTTTTGAATTACAGTGGCTGATACGGCTGCTGTGAATATTTGGTGAATGTCACATTCACCGTTTTCGAACTGTGCCCCTATATATGAACTTGAGTGAAGAAACGTTGTGACGCCTTGATTACTATATGAGAAAGTTTTACAAAGTATCTCCTGAACTTAACAGATGGCAGAGCGTACCCACAGCCATTTGTTTTTTATTCTGGATGGAGTATGGAAGGGCTACGAATTCTGTTATGTTATATTGCTTTCTGTGTCCCAATCGGGAGATTTACCCCCTCTATGTGTCATGGTGACCACAGGTGAGGGAAAATCCAATGTTTTGAGTTGTCACTGGAACAGGAACAGAGGGGAAAACTTCCAATGGGGACACTTAATCTGCTGACAAGTAGAAGGGGAATTTTTCCTTACTTTGGAGAGATCACATCTCACTTCCTGTTATGTTTACAAGACAGGAAGTGAAGTTAAATCTCCCCAATGGAAAACATACGAAAAATACCAAAACATTTTTTCTATCTGGGTTCCATATTTTTAACCCTTCCTTGATCTATAGTTTTAGCTTTAGATATACTTTATCATTCTGTTCATAGCTCTACTAGAACTATGATAAAAAAAATATGGTGTGGATCGATATGGTAAATATCATAAAACAACTGCAGACAATTATATATGACCAAATGTTCATTTATTGAAGTTCCTTGTCATATAAACAAGCGCTTTCGGGTCCATACAGGGTCCCTTCATCACGCTTAGCATTGATCAGTTTAGTCAATGCTAAGCCTGATGAAGGGACCCTGTGTGGCACTGAAAGCGCTTGTTTATATGACAAGGAACTTCAATAAATGAACATTTGTTTATCCTAAGAAGGATTTTGTGCTGGTGACCTCTCTACACAATTGCTGATATTTGCGGCGCCAACCGCAGTCACTGCGAGCCCCCCCCACTTCAAGGGGTTTTTTGGTAAGGAGTGCGACAAGGAAAAGTATTACTTATATAACCCTCCCACCCTTCCCAAAAGCAATACAAAAATTGCGACTGTTCCCCACCAGACACCATGTAACGAGGAAAGATAATATCATGTGATCATAAAATAGAGAATCGGGACTCCTGTGTTAAAGCCCAGTTGCAGCCTCTCTATTTATCACTGTAATGCATCAGCCTATATTACACAGTAAAATATAATAAGCTAATTTCGGTGTATTTTTACATACTAAGTGCTGCAGCAAGGGTTAAAATACCCAATGTTAGCACAGAGGGGAGTCAAATCGCTGCTCTCACAAACAAGTAGTAGGCGGGTCTCCAGCCATCTGACACGCCCCCTGAACACTGCTCCAATCAACACTGCCGATCAGGGAGCTAGAGGCCTGATGATTGGAGCAGTGTGCAGGGGCAGTGCAATGCCTCTCATCAGTACAACATGCAAACCAATAACTATCACCTGTGCCCGACATAATAAAACATATTGACATAATGTAACAGAGGAAAAACAATTAGCAGTGTCTAGCATTTAAAGTAGGGATTCACCGATACCACTTTTTTAAGACCGAGTACCGATACTTTTGATCAAGTACTGGCAGATACCAATTACCGATACTTTTTGTTAAAGGGACAGGTCACATTTTTTCTAAAGCAATACAAACTAATGCTTTAAGGTCACTTTCTTAATATTATGATTCATGAGATGACGAGGGAGCATAACGCCGGCTTCCCGGCCAATCAGAATGCCGGGCGCTGCGTCATTACACCGCGCCCGGCTTCCGGATTTGCTAGCTTCCTGACCAATCGGGAAGCCGGGCAGCGCGTCATTGCACGCTACCCGGCTTCCTAATTGGCCGGGAAGTCGGCTCCATGCTCTCTCATCACAAGTGACGAGAGAGCATGGAGCTGTTTCCTGGCCAATCAGGAAACCGGGCAGCGTGTAATGATGCGCTGCCCGGCTTCCTGATACAGGAAGTACTCGTGCTAGGTATCGGAGCATTTAAGCGCGTACGAGTACTCACCCAAATACTCGGTATCGGCACTGATACTTATACTAGTATCGGTGAATCCCTAATTTAAAGTGAACCTGTCACACATTTGGGCAATCCAAACAATGCATAAGAGGAACAAATGTCTTAGCAGAGATGACTTTGAGTTTGGCCCTGTCCTTTCCTGCCTTCTTACAGGCAGCCTCACCATAGGAAGGCTCCAGAGGTGTGCCTGGAAGAAGTAGGTGTAACATTGACATTTAAAGGAAAAGCCTAGGTTTGCAAGTAACTTCAGCTGCCTCCATCCCTGGATCTAGATTTTATCCTCTGCTTATGTACGTTTTCATCCAATGTTCAGTTTAAATTGTCCTCGATACCCTCAGCTCACATATAACAAGGTAGGTCCCGCACTCACTCTGACACGGAGTGCGTCACGGCATGCTCGTGGTAGCGATACTGCAGGAGGCATTCATCTACGCGGTGCACTCCACCACCTTTTCTGAGGTGCTCGTAAAAATACAGTAAATCTTCGGGAGTCCCCTGAGAAAAGAATTTTATAAGTCACATTTTAAGTATATACAAGTGATACATCTCAGGAAATATAAATATGTCACATTATCCTAAACTCAGCCAAAGGAAAGGATTGCTCGTATGAAATGTAATAGCTGATCCTTCTCACACAAGGCGATGAGTGTCTATGGATGAGGCATAACACATGGGTAGCGACGACTGAATTAAGAGACTCCGCAGTTGGCAAGTTTTTGTCATATGCTGAATATTTCTTTTGTCACAGAAAATATTGCTCAGCAATGTGCACGATAAACCTGAACCGCGGGCCTAATAATGTAGACAATTATGCTGAACAGCCAATCAGCTAATCTTCAGAATATACTTTTCATGGGAACATTTATACGTTGTCAGGATATTTGCTCGGCTCTCTGGAGGAAATGACGGCATTTCAGAGAAGAGCCCGGAAAACCATGGAATGCCTTTATGTCCATTATCTTCCAATGGGGATGTATTGTGTTACATGTGACTTTCCACAAACAAATATATAAACAGTGCCAAGACAAGGTCCTCTCGCGTTACTATTAAAAATAGGTCTAAAGGTGCCCACACACCTTACAATTTATCTGCAGATTTTCTGTGGTCAGATGGAAAAGGTGCAACAGATTCCTCCATCTGCACTTAACTGTGTGGATGGAGTAATCTCCACCTGGGCCAATCTGTTGCACTTTTTCCATCTGACCACAGAAAATCTGCAGATAAATTGTAAGGTGTGTGGGCACCTTAACTCAGTGGCACCCACAATTTTTCATGTGGAGATCTACTTTTCAAGTGACAAGCTCAATGAGATTTACCAACAAAAAAAAAACACCTGCGTTAAGGGGCGTGGCGGTGCATTGAAGTCAATGGCACTGCAGCCACGCCCCCCGCCCGCAGTGTGATCGCCCCCACCCGGAACGCAGGCACAATGGTGCCTGTGTTCCGGTCCAGTGCGATCTGCAAAAATGCTGCAAGCATTCACACCACAAAGTCATCGTTCCAGAGTGTTCGGCCTCTAGAACGCACTGGAGCGCAAGCTGGCCGGCTACCTGCGAAAAATTAGCCGGATGGAAAATTGTCAGCGGAACAGTGACTGCAACCAATCAACTCCAGTCAATGTCCGGGTATTCTGACAGCAGCACACCCGCTGCTGTCAGAAAACAATGGCATGGAGGGAGGATTTCCTAGCCACACTGTTTAGCATGGATGGGGGAATGCGTTAGATTTATTTAGTTCAGCCTTCAAGATGAATGAAAAGAAATCTATATGGGCCAGCGTCAGACACTTCTGGGAGTATCCAATGCTTATGACCCCTGCAACTCCCCTCCCCTTCCCCCCTCTTCGCTGATACCTTCCTGCGACTCCTAGATCACTACAGGGCACAACACTACACGAAAGGGATTTTTAGAGGCTGGCGGTCTCTTTAAATGTGATAATTCAGGTTGAGAGTTAGCACAGAAAGAGGGGAAACATGCTAATAGTATTATTCTAAATCTGTCAGACACCTTGTGGAAACCAGTTTTACTTTGTAACCGTCCTAGTGCGAGTGGTAGAAGTGCAGGCACGCTGTATGACAAATTGTATGCAGTGTTTTTGTGCATGGCACAATTTAATGCAGATTAGGAAACAAAGGCTAATACAACATATTTCATGTTACGGCGAAGGACTACCAGTCCCAGCAGCCAGGTGCCAGCCGGATGAAAGGATATAGCATGTTCCCAATGTAACAGCTGAACTCTTGTCGCAGTGAATACATTATTATTCTGTAACGTCTGATACAAATTAAGTTTTCTTCCTCTCTCTCTTTTTTCCCACTGTCGCAGCAGGAAACTGAAGCCCACCGCCGACAATCTGTAAGGATGGGAGAGCCTGTGTGGGTGGGTTGTGAACAACGGTACCCAGCTCCTCCCAGTGTGTGGGAATCTCCTCTGTCAGTTTGGAAACCGTTTATATAAACCTGAACTTGATATTTCTCCCCCTCCCCACTCTGATACAACTTTAATTACATTGTCGCTCTGGTGCCAAAATGAGAAAAGACGCCCACTGTTATCCCTGACTTTCCCAGGGGGAGACGACCACATCAGTAACCAGCTATGAGGAGCGGTACAGCAGCCACGATTGCTGCTCTCTTCCCACGGACAATTAGTATGTGGTGACCTTGACGGAGCAAATCGAGAAATGGATTGCATGAGATCCGAACAAGGTCAGGTCCCAACAAGGTCATTTACAGACATGTCTCAGGTCAGACAGAACAAAGACGATGTGTACACTGTAGTATCCAAAATGAAAGACACTGTGCAGTTCAGAGGGGAGCTCTACCTCCACCTCATCTTAGTATGGAGTATCTGTTCTGGAGAAGGAGAGCAACCCCACAAGTGTAACCGGGCCTTCTAACAAAGAAAGGATCCGTCTTTATATAAACTTTAGCGTTCAATTAACTATTGTTCCCAGTGAGCTACGATCATCCATCAGGAGGAAGCTGAAAGGGGACCTGTCAGACAGAAGTATGGGTGCTGCTGCTGACGACTTGTTTCTGTAGATATACGTGCTCCACAGCTGTCACACATATTCTTGATGTGCCTATAGAGGCCTCCATGCTACACTTTTGTGTGTCTGTTCCAAGTCAGTGACTCACCCAACAGTGATGGGAGGATGAGGATGGCAGCTCAAAGCACAGACCTCAAATAAACAGTGAGGAATGGCAGATCCTATACTTTTATCCTGACAGCATTGCAGATACAAAAGGGGAACAGTTAAAGTGACAGCAAACCCTCCATTTTGTATCCCTTTCTGCTGCAGGTGTCACCACTTATATTGCATGCAGCTTATCCTACTGTTAAAGCTCCGTTCTCTTGTGGGGTCCCATGGAGACGCCTGTTCGTGCGTGCTCCCAACATGCACAGGCAGCTGGTGTGCGCTGGACTGGATGTGCATGCACAGTGGTCCATGGCAGCATGGAATGTAGTCCCGAGGAAGCGGGGTCAGGAGGACTTTCAAAGAAGTGATAAGTGCGCGCTCCCAGTTGGAGGTTCAGGGAAGCGGCACACAGGAACCCAGAGGGTAAAGTGTACATAAACCATAATCTCTCCTTTTTGCTCCCTTTTGGTCTGTTAAAGATACCATTCAAAGAGTTTTCTTATATTTGTGCAACAATACCTGTAGATCCTGCCAGAAATCCTGTGAGCTGATAACTTCCTGTGCTGCACTCTTATCAGTTACATTCTTTGCAGGCCTGTGCTATGTTATAGGGATGAGGAGAGGGGGAGGTGTCCTGTAGTCCTAACACATTTCCTATCCTTGGGCAACAATGCTGCTCCTCCATACGTACAGTACAGTGAGTGTTGTCACCCTAGGACAGGAAGTGTGTTCGTGGCAGGATCACCAGATAAAAATAAAGGAAACAAATGCAGCCACCTCATCTATGGACCGGCAAACTACAATATGGTTAGATGTGCTTTAATTCCCAAATATAGATTTTATTCTTGCAACAACAGCTGGTTTGGTGGTCATCTTTGTCCCTTTAATTTACTAAAAAGTGAAAACTGGAGTTCTTCCTGTATGAAGTCACTCTTCTTTTTCTCTTGTATACTATACTGTGAGCATTTCTAGAGCAGCATTCCGGTTGTGACTTGGCAGTGATCTGAAACAAATTAGGTTTGTAGGAGGACGATTTAGTGACACAGTCATATCTGACCCCTCACACATGGATTTCTGTTCCCCCCGCCAGTTGGATGGGCTCCCTGCTGATACTGGCCCGGCAACAGACTTTCCTTATCACAGCGGGGCCAGGGAAGGGGCCACATTACATAGAGATTGGCGTTTCTGGGTCAGAAAGGCTGAGAAAATCTGCTGGTCTTCCCTTATATAGTTGTAGAGGGACAAAGGGACAGAAATATTCCCTTATATGTTCACAGTGACAACATAATGGTCACAGTACCAGCAGCATTCTACACAACCTGTCCATTAGGAAGAACTTGTGTCTGATTGGCTGAAGCAGCAGTTGTTGGCGCTGGATGCGATAAGAACAGAAAGTGCATGAAATTAAATTCATAAAGCAATTCAACTGCACAATGTCAATGAGCCTTGAAGCACTGGCATCGATGCTGTTCTATTCATAACCTTATATTAGACTATAGGTGACATCACCAAGACTCTTTATATTCATGAGAACGCAGCCTATTCCATCACTAGAGACCAGTGACATCATGGAGACCCTTCATATTCATGAGAACGCAGCCTATTCCATCACTAGAGACCAGTGACATCATGGAGACCCTTCATATTCATGAGAACGCAGCCTATTCCATCACTAGAGACCAGTGACATCATGGAGACCCTTCATATTCATGAGAACGCAGCCTATTCCATCACTAGAGACCAGTGACATCATGGAGACCCTTCATATTCATGAGAACGCAGCCTATTCCATCACTAGAGACCAGTGACATCATGGAGACCCTTCATATTCATGAGAACGCAGCCTATTCCATCACTAGAGACCAGTGACATCATGGAGACCCTTCATATTCATGAGAACGCAGCCTATTCCATCACTAGAGACCAGTGACATCATGGAGACCCTTCATATTCATGAGAACGCAGCCTATTCCATCACTAGAGACCAGTGACATCATGGAGACCCTTCATATTCATGAGAACGCAGCCTATTCCATCACTAGAGACCAGTGACATCATGGAGACCCTTCATATTCATGAGAACGCAGCCTATTCCATCACTAGAGACCAGTGACATCATGGAGACCCTTCATATTCATGAGAACGCAGCCTATTCCATCACTAGAGACCAGTGACATCATGGAGACCCTTCATATTCATGAGAACGCAGCCTATTCCATCACTAGAGACCAGTGACATCATGGAGACCCTTCATATTCATGAGAACGCAGCCTATTCCATCACTAGAGACCAGTGACATCATGGAGACCCTTCATATTCATGAGAACGCAGCCTATTCCATCACTAGAGACCAGTGACATCATGGAGACCCTTCATATTCATGAGAACGCAGCCTATTCCATCACTAGAGACCAGTGACATCATGGAGACCCTTCATATTCATGAGAACGCAGCCTATTCCATCACTAGAGACCAGTGACATCATGGAGACCCTTCATATTCATGAGAACGCAGCCTATTCCATCACTAGAGACCAGTGACATCATGGAGACCCTTCATATTCATGAGAACGCAGCCTATTCCATCACTAGAGACCAGTGACATCATGGAGACCCTTCATATTCATGAGAACGCAGCCTATTCCATCACTAGAGACCAGTGACATCATGGAGACCCTTCATATTCATGAGAACGCAGCCTATTCCATCACTAGAGACCAGTGACATCATGGAGACCCTTCATATTCATGAGAACGCAGCCTATTCCATCACTAGAGACCAGTGACATCATGGAGACCCTTCATATTCATGAGAACGCAGCCTATTCCATCACTAGAGACCAGTGACATCATGGAGACCCTTCATATTCATGAGAACGCAGCCTATTCCATCACTAGAGACCAGTGACATCATGGAGACCCTTCATATTCATGAGAACGCAGCCTATTCCATCACTAGAGACCAGTGACATCATGGAGACCCTTCATATTCATGAGAACGCAGCCTATTCCATCACTAGAGACCAGTGACATCATGGAGACCCTTCATATTCATGAGAACGCAGCCTATTCCATCACTAGAGACCAGTGACATCATGGAGACCCTTCATATTCATGAGAACGCAGCCTATTCCATCACTAGAGACCAGTGACATCATGGAGACCCTTCATATTCATGAGAACGCAGCCTATTCCATCACTAGAGACCAGTGACATCATGGAGACCCTTCATATTCATGAGAACGCAGCCTATTCCATCACTAGAGACCAGTGACATCATGGAGACCCTTCATATTCATGAGAACGCAGCCTATTCCATCACTAGAGACCAGTGACATCATGGAGACCCTTCATATTCATGAGAACGCAGCCTATTCCATCACTAGAGACCAGTGACATCATGGAGACCCTTCATATTCATGAGAACGCAGCCTATCCCATCACTAGAGAGAGACCAGTGACATCACTGAGACCCATTGGTTTACAAAAGGGAAAACCTCCAGAAGTAGGAACCTTCTTGACCTGTGAGGGGATGTTATATGTACTATCCACTGACAAAACAGTCAGCATTTGAATCACGATGTCAGTTGCATTGATAACATTGGCTATGGGAGCTTTTTCTCTTACCTGCCCATCTTCAACAAACTGTCCCACATAGCAGAACCACTCCTTGGAGCAGAACCAGGTTGGCATGATGACGGTTGGCCCATGAGATGTGAACACCTAAAAAGGGAACACAAAATTGTTATTTTTCTTAGGCTTTGCACATAAACATTATCCTGGGGAGGGGAAAAATCAAACTTAACGTGCTTACAGTGTTCCATCTCATGTTTAGTTTACTCATTTGTATTGAGATTGTAGTCCCATCACAGGAGCTAGCTTGGAGCGGTGACTACTTTACAACACACGCAGGGACCATGGGGAACAAAAATAGCCCCCCTCCAGAAGGAAGGACAGTGTCAGCACAAATTCAGAGATGATTTGAGGATCTACATCCGAGTGATACACACAAATAAAATACACTTTTTAAAAAATAATTAAGGTACTTCAATGCATTTTCAAGATGTAACTCCTGAGTTTAGTGTCACTTTAATAGATGAAGGAGCCTGTGCATATGAGAAGTGGAGCACTGTGACCACACATTGTTAAGCTGCTCATTCTCTGAGGGGGAGCACTGTTTTGTGGTACACCGTATTTGAGCATCACTGAATACCAGTTTGTTGTGTTGAACATTTATTAAACACCGTCTTTGTTACCAAGTATTCACTACTGGGGTAGAATATGTATCTTCTGGATTTTCTTCCATGGTTTACTGGATTCGGATGATGGAATTCCTTGATGGACACTATTATGTGATAATGGATATGCATATTCAATTTGCACCTCCAATTTGTATATTGTTAGCACTGTCTTCACTGTATCATAAGATTTGTATTTAGATATCAATATGTATAACTGGACAGCAGTGAAAGCTCCCATAACCCCCCTCAGCACAAGTTTATTGTACCTATACAGTAACTTCCTAGTATTATTGTTATACAGGATTTATATAGCGCCAACGGTTTGCGCAGAGCTTTACAATATAAGGAAGACATTACAATACAATTCAAGACAAGATGGTAAGGAGGGCCCTGCCTGTGAGAGCTTGCAATCTAAAAAGGAGGGGGAAGTGATACACGAGGAGGTAGCTGTATAGCTTGAAACAGCAATATTTATTCCTTGACAAGAAAACCCCCCAAAACAATTGAGCATTACAACCTAAATGTTTTCAGCGCAGCCACATCTGAAGACAATTCATTTCTGTAATCAAAACAAAACCAGTAACATGAAACATCTGCAAGTTATTCCAGGCAGAAGCACAAACCGCAATCATGTCTGTGTTTCTTATGAGAAGATGGACATTACGCCTTTCAATCATGTTTTTGATCAGCCTTTCTCATCCAGGTTACCATGGCACCCTGGAGTACCTTCTGGAGTTTGTCGGGGGGTGCCTTCAGATTTTTGCACAGCCTCATGCATTTCCATGGTGCAGGTGAGCTGGACACGAGCACCATTATTATTATTATACAGGATTTATAGAGCACCAACAGTTTGCACCACGCTTGGAAGCACATAATGCTAACCCTGGGCAGGCTGCATCCAGGACCTCCCCCAGCATTCGGAAGAGGATAGAAGTCCACCTCCGTCCAGACCTGCTGCGCCTCCAGCCCTCTGCCATGCTGCCACAGCCACACTGTGGCAGAGATTATAAGGTAAGACTCTGATGTTAAGGGATGACTGAGGACTCTGATGTGAAGAGGGGTTCCCGATATGAAAGGGGGGCTCTTGATGGAAAGGGAAGCTCTGATATGACAAAGGGGGGGGGGGGGGGTTTTAATTTTTTTTTTAGATTTTTTTTTTTT